AGTTACCAACATGAATTTGACCATGTTAGTCTTTAAGGTGCCAGAATTTTTTTATCTTTTTTATTTTTTCCAATTTTGTTTTGTTTTTGCCTGACACAGAATCAAGAGCACTTCCAATACCTAGGAGAAATACAGCACTCGTATCTAATCCTTCTCCTGCAGTACATTCATATTCATGCAAGCAGTATTTATTAATGACCACAGCCAGCATTTTACTGAGCTTCCAATGAGCAAAAAGTCCAACCAGGAAAACAGGATCATAGCATTTGCTGAAGAATTGCAATTGTGCAAGCAATGATGTCCATGAAAAAAACCTGCTAACTCCTTGCCAACGACAGTGTTTGTGCCACTGTCCCCATCCTGCATTACTATGCTTGTGGAACTTTTGACTCAGTAGGCTACTGGCCTGAGAATGACAGAATAGGTACATTGGTTTGCAGGGGTATCAACAACCATGATAAGCAACTTGACAATGGTAGTGTCTCTCTTCCAAAGGCTTGGGGGCGGGGAGAGATCCATCTTTTTCATAGTTGGGTTTCCTTGTGCTACATTAATCTTAGCCACAGACATGAAAAAGATGGAGTGAAGAAACCTATGGATTTCATTGTTTTTCAAACAGAAATAGAGTAATAGAAAGCTTTACAGAAACATACCCACTTCACAGTAAGTACAAAATATTGCTTGAATTTAGTACAGTGGCCAACTGTATCATGAACGCATTAATGCAAGACTTTATTTCGAAATCCATATTTATCAACACAGTTGAATGTGAAATATACCATTGCACTTAAACAGAATTTGAAACTTAGTGAGTACATTTAATATTGGAGGCTCCCACATTAAACATCTGGAACCTCTGCCAGGACTATGTATTGGGTGCAAGATGTCCTCCCTTTCCTTTAAGGCATTGGCTTTACCAGTGTCAGTACCAGAACACAATATGGGGAGTGGGGGGGGGAGGTTGAGCTAAAAAGGCAAAATGCATTTCTGGAAGAATCAAGTTTCTCCCACATACTAATGTTCTCTCTCTCTCTCTCTCTCTCTCTCTCACACACACACTCACACACTCACACACACACACACACACACACACACACACACACACACACACACACACACAAATATTATTTGTGTGTAAATAAGCTAAATGCACTTGAACCTATCTCTTGTTCCTGATGATGCAAATTCTGGGCTATAACATCCAGAATACTACAGCCAAAATGGATACTACCCATGCTGGCTGGAATTTCTAGGTGCTGTAGTCCAACAAGTAGCTTTTCCATGCTGTGGTTTCACTTGTCACTCTTCATACTCACCCGGAAAGTATACAGAGTATGTATTCTCAAAGGCTTTCTTGGCCGGGATCTAATGGTTGTTGTGGGTTTTTTGGGCTCTTTGGCCGTGTTCTGAAGGTTGTTCTTCCTAACGT